TGTACTTGTGGGTATGAAAATCTCAATATCTCAAGGGATTATTCTTGTACTCGTGGGTATTAACGACTAAAGTTTTGTCACTTGTATCGATTAATTACCGGGTGTATGGACTAACATACGGTAGAAGAGGTGAATCTCTTAATGATTCACAATATCTCAAAGATTAGTCCTGTACTTATGGGAATTGGTGACTAATATGTTTTCGCTGGTATCAATCTATTACTGTGTGTATAGGAAAAAAAAATGTCAGGAGAGGTCAGTCTCTTAATGAATCTCAATATCTCATGGATTAGCCCTGTACTCATGAGAATTTGCGCCTAATATTTTGTCCCCAGTATCAATCTTAATTACTGTGTGAATGAAAAAGGTCAATCTCTCGAGGGACTAGTCCTATACTTGTGGGAATCAACACTTTGTTGGAATTAGCGACTAATGTTTTGTCACTTGTATCAATCAATTACTGTGTGTGTGCATGGAAAAACATACGAAGAGTTCCATCTCTTGAATGAATCTCAATATCTTAACATCAATTAATTACTTTGTGAATGGGGGAAAAACATGCTAGAAAAAAGAAAGGAAGGAAGGAAAAGTGGGTAAACCTGGTGCCTTTTGCGGGCATTGTTGGAGATGGCAGTGAGAACGCCCCAAACGCGAGGATCGGAGTTGTGAAGAGGCTGCGAAGAGATGTTGGAGGCGACGGAGACAATGCGCGCTCTAGGACTCAAACTCAACGGAGTATTGTCGCCGCCGTTGCTGCCTCTCGACGTCGGCGTTTCCACTTTCGGCTCCTCCATCGCCGCTTCGAAACCCTAATAACGTAAATTGAAATCCTCCTCTTCGCTCTCCCGCCACTGCAACTGCAAACTGTGGACTGTGAAGTGCAGTGAAGCGATTAGTGGGTTTTTCAGTTTCACATCACTCACGTGAAAACAACTAACCTTAAGCTTCCCTTGGAAGCTTTGCAACCTTTTTTTTTCTTCTTTTTTTTTTCCTTTTCTTTTTCCATCTCAATTATTAATTCCCGGTTTAAATATTTAATTACTTATTTGCACCATGAATTATTTATATGTGTTTTAGAAATTATATATTTTAGTTTTTATATATAACCTTTGTATTTTGTTTTAACAATATCCTAAAAATAGTTTTTGATTAAAAGTATTTTAATTTGAAATAAATAAATACAAATTCACATTAAATGAGATTTTTTAATGTAAAAATTTAAATTGTAGTAAGGTTTGACCTCATGTAATGTCAAAATTAACTACTAATTTATTTAATAATTTTTAGTGAGATAATTCTCTATTACATTTTTAGTATAAATTCACATAAAACGATACAGGAAATCAAATTTGATCTTAAGTATTAGTTAATAAAAATAAAAGAAGGATTTAAGGTTTAGAGCTTATTTCTAGTTTAGAATTTAGGATCTAGAACTTAGAGTTCAAAATTTGAATGAATTTGAACTAATGAGTTATGTGATCCAGCAAAATCATATTAAATAAATTTGAATTAAGATATTAAAGTAAGAGTGTCTAAATATTATCAGGCTTAATTACCTCAATTTTATTTTTTAATTTTATGATTTCATTATTTCAATTTGAATTGAATTGATTTTTGTAAAAGAAATTAGTTCAAAGTATAAATTCAAATTGAAGATTAAAAATAACTTTTCAATCTCTCTAAGAACAATGTTCTCAATTTAAAAGGGGGCGTCCATATATTTGGTCAAATAAAAGATAATTGAATTCGATAACATTAAGCCAATACATTTATTTTGTTTTGGTCACATGCCCTAAGTAAGCTAATACAGTCTAAAACCAAATATATATATATATTAATACTATTACATTATGAAGTTCATAAAAAAATTATATATTATTGACACATTTATTATATATAAATAGGTAACAGTATATAAATTTATTATTTAAAACATCTACAAGGCACATGTTTTTTTTTTTTTTTTTTTATCTATGAAAAACATGCAACTACATACGGCAACATCCATTGAACTTTCTCGTTAGAGAAAGTTTTTATTCTCTATTTTTATTTTCCTCTACATTTTTATCATACAAACTTGAAGCAGAAAATAAAATTAGAAGATCTTTTTTTTTTTTTTTATCTATGAAAAACATGCAACTACATACGGCAACATAGATTGAACTTTCTCGTTAGAGAAAGTTTTTATTCTCTATTTTTATTTTCCGCTACATGTTTATCATACAAACTTGAAACAGAAAATAAAATTAGAAGATATTTTCACCATCTAAGCATCCTTAACATGTGATGAAGAAATAGTAGTTTGTATAGATGGTTTCCTTTTCATCCACAATCAGGCATTGTAATCTACCAAATCCATGCATGTCAATGGCAAACCCCGTTGCACTGACTTAGTACACCATGATCTCCACAACAATGTTAATCTTTTGACACAATATTTGTCATACTTATACAATAATACTGTGACCAATTGATGCAACTCAACCATTACAAGTAAAACATAGAACATGTACTTGATGTGCCACCACGAGTCACAAAAAAGAAGTGACACCAAAGAAGCCAAAGAAAATGAGCCAAAAACTGCCATGACAGTGCTTAACTGAGCAGCATATAAGGGCAAACATAGCCATGCCCTGAAGGCCAAGTAGTAGCATAATATGCCAAACACACAAGCTTTTGTGATCATAGGGTGAACTTGGAACGGGGAAGCTGTGTTCCCTATACTTTGAACTTGAAGGAAGCACAAGAGTGTTGCAAGTGTAAATGCGTAGATTGTATGGCGTTGTTTAGTGAAGGAATCGTGAGAAAGGTTTTGCTGGTGGACATAGAAGGTGGCTTGCCATTGAGAGGAGGGACCTGCCATTGTCATATGCTATATAGTGTTTGTATTAAATTGTATGATATGAAGCTAAGGAGTTATGGAGGTGAATATGTATATATTCTTTAGTTTCTATTTATAAGCTTTTTGTGATTTACAAGTGCTTTGAAAATTATAGAAATATGATAACGAGAAAGCTATACTAATTTATATAAGTGAATAAGTCAATTTTTACCTTACAAATCTTACAAGTTGATTTTGTAAGATTAAATTAATATTTAATTTACTTTTTTAACATGATATCAAAATTTATCTTAACAAATATTATTTTTTGTTAGACTTATTAAACTATCTCTTATAAGATTATTATTGTCCAATTTTATAAAGTTAAATTAAGTTTATAAGAAAAATGTTTTATTTATCTAATATGTATCTTAAGCAATCTATTCAACCTATCTTGGTCAAAATTTGGAGTGAATTCCTCGTACGAAGATCTCAAATCAAGAAAAAAAATGTAAGGATATCATATGATGTTAAGTTTGTGGATTATTGTCTTCAATTGAGTATCATCTTATCAACCAAATTGTCCATGCATTAATTGAACACACATGCCTCATAGATTTTTTTTTTTTGACCCAACAAATTGTTGATTATAACTTGCAGCCAATTACTAATGGCAAACAAGAAATTAGGAAAACGAAAGAAAATAGAGATGACGGTGGAAGATCCATGTTGACGTGTGAAATTGAAAATGCAAAAACAAAGATCGCAGTGAATCCAAGTGGAATTTGGAGTGACATTGTTTTTATAAGATTTGGGATTGACCGTAAAACGACGCCTAAAGTTTAGAAGCCAACAATGAATCAAGTTATTTAAAATCCAATTAGGATTTTATTACCAATAATTTGTTATTGGCTGGATCACCCTTCAAGTTCAAGGATCTTCAAAATCGTTCTTTCTCATTTCTTCATTAGCTATGGGAAATCGTCAAAACCTTTTCCGACGATTAAATATATGCATATTCAAAAGTACATTTAGTGGTTGAAAATTTATTAATTGCTTGAATAGAATTTCTACGATTCGATAGGCATTTCGTGTTAAGACTAATTATGATAATATTTTGTATTTTAAGATGAGCAATCTTAATAGTTGACATTACCGTATGATTTTGTTGATTTTTTTTGTATGCTACACATTAAGATTTATATTATACGTACTGAAAACACGACCTTAATTTCAATTTATATAATAATGTATTTTTTTTTATAATCGTGATTCATGCATTATTACATAACTAAATAACTACGAAAAAAAAACAAGTACAAAAAAGGTTATAAAAATTTTCTTAATGATGCAGCAACGTGTCTGAAATATATTTTCACAATACATACAAAAACTCAAAACTTAATTTTGTTTTTGTTTGTCCCTAGAGTATACCGCCGATAGCAGTGACTAATCTCTTAGTTGGAAGGACCTCAAAGGATGAGATAACTGGTCCCAAGATTTAACGCGATTGCATACACAAGGCAAGATTTGAACCCCTAACCTTACTTAAGCATAAATCAACCCCTATCGCCGAACCACACGCTTAGGGTTAAAAACTTAATCTAAAATGACAGTAATATTGCCAATACTTCGTGCACTTAACGTTGGTTCCAATCAATAGGCAAAATGTAATGAGTACTGTATCTCCAAGGCTAGTATAAAATTTTTGGGTTTCCATTTATCATAAAATACTACATTAATTATAATTTGGAAAATACTTTATAAAAAACATTTTTGCAGTAGTAGATATCTTATTTAACCGTGTAGTATGACATTGAAACATCAACATAAATCGACGTATAACCTAAAAAGTCATCGAACTAATTTGTTTCAAAATTTTAATAATCATCGATACAGAAACGAATTCTTGAGAGCTTGACCTCAATATTGTCCTTGTGATCTTTTGAATTAGAAAGTAGTCGTTGTCCGAGGCTGCTCAATCTAGAATTTTGTCTGCATGCTAAAATTAAAAAGAAATATAAAAAGTCGTCGACCAGCTTGATCATTGTAAGTTACAAGTTTTGTTTTAACGTACAAGATACATTCGTTTTTACTTTGTGCCACTAAATTGTGAGACAAACTAGTTGAAGCGACAAAATGAATTTCTTTCTAGTTTGTGATGTAGCAACACACGCAATTCACTTGAACATGATCATATTTATGTTACCTTTGGACTACACAAATAAAAGTTTTTAGTATCGTTTTTGTCTGCATTGCTGAACACTAACCATTAATTGCTAATTGTTAAAATACCATCAAGTTCTAAACTAACCAACCTCCCTGATCTGGTTAAAATTAGGCAATTCATGCTGCCTAATAAAATAGAGGCAAAGAGACTAAACTTTCAACAAAAACCCACACAGGGAAAAATAAATCAAATGATACAGGATCAACAATGTCAAGTGCACTTGGCCATATGCTATGTTCATGTTTGGCACAGCACAAAGTGTGGGAACGCTCTAAGCTAGCTGTTATGACTCTAGCTGCATCAATGAATTTTTTGTTCCTTTGAACATCATCAGCTCATGTTATTTACCATTCAGTCCTTCCACCATGGCTGCTCCCCATGCCTCCTTATTTCTTTCCCTTTTTCCAACCAAGATTACTTGCAACCAGATCAAGAACAATGGATATTCGGAGCAATCTTAATTAATTTGCACAAAAGAAATATTTTACTATCTATACACATCCTCATTGATCTTCTAGGATCTCCCTGTGTACATGCATGCATGATGTGCTGCAGTATTTGTAATTATACCGGTGGAATGGAACTTTACCAGCAAGTGATGAATTACAGCAGGAACAGTAAATGTCACCAGCTAATCCACTTTTAGGCTCTGACATGCTAGGTGCAGTGGTTGCACTCTTAGCTTGAATTTTGAGGGCAGCCATTCTCCTCTCTGCAGCAGCTGCTCTCTTTTCTCTTTCAGCAGCCTGTGCCATTCTTATTTCTTCCTGTTTAAGATAGAAAGAGGATTAATAAATTACAATATTAAACAGTTCATTAACAATTAGCAGTTACGAGTGGAAAATACTCGGACGGAAGAATCAAATTCTCTCATTAATGTGTATCGCATGGTTTCAACACATCGTTAAATTTATGAAAGACATGGCCTTTTTAACATTTCCAGCAGCAAAAATTTCAGTATCTAACCTCTTTAGATAAATGCACACCACTTTTTAAGTGCGATTGTCCCTTAATAGATGCTGAAGCAGTTACTTGCTTCTCTACAGTTTTGGAATCATTCTTAGGCAAGGCAGCTTCAACCTGAGCACCACGTTTAAGATTCCTCAGAATAATATTTTTGACAAGAATAATGAACAATGAGTAAAAAACTGTATAAATGCTAAATATGGAAAATCAAAGCTTCTCAATGAAAGCTTTTCAGAAAAATGTGTAGCTGGCTGAGGTATAGGCCTAGGACTGAAACCACAAGCAACAGAACAAAGAACAACAATAGAACTCACAAATTGGTTAAGTACAAGTTTCCATTTCATTTTCATAATTCGCAATAAATTCATTTGTTTATGCACATTTCCCAAGACTCAATCATCACAAGCTGATTGCAAGGCGTTTGGAGGTCAAAGGTGGAAAGACAAACAGAGGAATGTTATTTGAAGGAGCAGGTACCATTTTCACTCTAAACAACAATTTCAACACTACCAAGATATCTCTCAAATTTTTAAGGTAAACTGTAATAAATTGAAATCACAATGATTAAAGTATGTCTTATGAAATTATCAATTATATTCTGTTTAATAAACCAAGTTAAAATGTTTTCAGAAAGAAGTCCATAAAAAAGAGGTCATCATATAACATGAGACTAAAACCAATTAAGCAGTACCTGAGCCTTCTTTTCTTTTGCTTTACGCAATTTCTTTAATTGTTTTGCTCTAGCTTTTCTCTTAGCATCTTTTTCTGCCTGTATAAAATGAAGTAACCATTACTGAGACGGAACTATTTAGATTTGATCATCAAAAGTCGAAACATTAAGATCATAGAGAGAACAATATGGATAATACAAAATAGTAACCATTTTAATTTAAATCAGAATTAAAAACTTATTTTAACATGTAGCAGAATCACCTGCTTAGCAGCTTGTGATTCTTCCATGTCTTTGGTCAATGCACTGGGAACTTTTGCAGCATGCCAATCCCATTTGTCAAGATTTGACGCCATAAACCTTCTGAAAGTATTCCTCACTTCTTTGTCATTTGCCAACATATATGGGGTCCGCCCCCTTTCATCTTTAATGCAAGGATCCAGGCCCTGATCCAGGAGCTCCAAAACCTTTAGAGAGTCGCCAGATTGTGCTGCTTGATGTAAAGGAGTTGATTTACCAGATAGCTCATTCTCACTTTCTCCATTACTTGAAATGGGGAGTTCATCATTTTGTTTACTTGAACAAGGTTCTGCTTTATCTTTGTCATCCAACTCAGCCATGTCCCCTTTGCTGGAGGTTGGATTGCCATTTATTTTAGAGATGTGAATTGATACCAAATCCTCTTGGTTGCTTTGTAAAACTTCCTTCTCGTCTGCTTCATAGGTTACCTGGGTCAACTGGCTATATACACGCTTTGCTTCCCTTAAAGTAGGCCTCCGAACAGTCAAAGCAATATTTCTAACAGCACTCTGCCGATTGGTAAAATATGATCTTTCTCCATCATAAAGCAGTTGACGACTACTTGAAGGTGCATGTATAAAAATGCAATTGGAAGCATCAAAATAAGGTTTCCAGGCAGTAAGCAGTTCTTGAACTTCCTAAAATATTGGCATGTCAATAATTAGTCCAGATTTAAATAACGGTGTGCACAAATGCAAATGTCCATGCACTCACAAACAAACAAGACAATAAGAAAGTATTTTCTACATCTCCATGTGTGCTTGAGAATGAATAAAAGTAAAACTAGAAGAATCATTGTAATAGCCAATTTGTCAAATTTCAAGGACCCATTTGATTTAAGAAAATGTTTTTGATTCTTATGTCTTGCCTTCACAAATAACTACAAAAATGTCAACTCATTTTTATTACATTTCATATTTTCAAAGATTCATACAAAAACCGAAAAAAAAAAATAGATTTTATTGTTTTTCACTATTTTCTGTACAAGAGAGGAAACAAGATGATATATTTTGTAATTTGTGAAAATGAAAAATGTTATCAAACCAAATAGACCCCAAGTAATCACATATATTAGCCGTTCTAAATTTTTTATAAACCAAGCTATGTCGCCGTTAACTTAATTATTAATAGAGAAAAAGCAGCCTGTGCTTTATAAGGGGAATTTTTAATACAGTTAATGTTAAACATCTGATATATTTTTTTCGATATAGGAAATAGCACCATAACAAATCTTATTGTCCTTACCCAAATAAATTAATAATAAATAAATTTAGAAATTTTCTAAAAATACCATACTATTTTCAAGTAATTATAATTTCGAATTCATAAGTTCCCACTTCCCACATTTTAAAATGAAAAAAGAAAAAAAATAGCACCATTTTCATATCATTTATTAACCTGCATATAACTACCTCCAATTCCAAGACTATAAATAGGTAGCTCTGTCAGTTATTTTCGAAACACCCTAGTGCCAAACAACAATTGGCTAGCATGGGAACAAAAATTTGGCAAGAAAAATAATATAGGTTTGTTTTGAACACCTTCTTTAGTGCAAGTTCATTATAACGACGAAGAGAAGCCCCAGCAGAATGTGCAGCCCTGCCAGAAGCATCTTTAGATGATTGTTTTTTTCCTGCCTTGGCTCTTACGACATATCTGTATGAGAATAATAAGAGGTTAAGAATACAACCAAAAATTAAAACTCCATTTACAACTTTTAGCAAATAGAACTAGTAACAATAAAAATGAATGAGAAAACAGAGATACAGGTATTTGGTCAATAATTAGGAAGTACAATACATGTTTTACTGCCTCAGGAAACAAAACAGGGACAATGGAAGAAAAAGAACTGTAAAAAAGTTGATCAATTACTAACAGAAGCTCGAGCATAATTGATACAGCATTTCACACATTCTCCTGCCAAAATTAAGTGAAACAGACTACAAGAAGAACATTCGTTTTCATTCAGATAGAATTGATTGCACCTAGTCACTTATTTGTCTATTCATCATAATAACTGAATCAGTAAAATTGATTCAAATTCACATGAGATTTAGTCTCAACTCTCAAAGGAGAAAAAAGACGCCAGCTGCTGAGTCAACAGTAACTAATCTATACCATATTATTGGAGTAAAGCATAAAATGTATACTCTAACAATAGCGGTTGTTACACATACAAGTTCACACAAGCTATCCAAGATAGGCTTGCAACATTACATGTTAGGGCAGAAGCATCAAGTTTCAATAGTTAATGCTCATGCTTGACTCATCCAGGTAAAAGAATATCAATTGCCTGTAAAGCCAAAACTGACCCCAAGTCCTAACACAAGACTTCCAAAAGACTAGACCTCCAAATAGGACAATAATTGATGAAGATACATGTTTCACAGATATTCTAATATTAGTCTTTGTCCATGGTTGAATGGTGTATGAATTATGAATATTTGCTATCCTCCCTCGACACAGTCTGTCTAAATGAAACTACAATCATATTCATCTTTTATTGAATAATAGTCGGAAACACTATAACTATTTTTCTATTGTTCGATCGCAAGAAGTATGTTCTAACCTGTGAAATGTCTTGTGAGCCACAACAGTATCACCATCAAAGACGCAACCTGCAAAGTGCCCACCGGATGCAAGCAAAACAATCCTCAAATGGGTATTATCTCTGGGCTCAACAGACAGAGATTTCAACTTCTCAACCAATTCGCTCTCTGCCTTTTCATTCTCATACAATACATTTTCAGTCACATTCATAATCAAGCACTTCCAGACAGAAACTCTCTGCCCTGTCTGAAGGCGGAAGAATAGTTTCTGTTTAATAATAAAACTTTCACTCGATTTGTCACGCGATGCAATTTGACTCTGAGATTCGATTTCACTGTCATCATCACTTTCTGATCCCGATATACTTGACACGTCATAGTCTTTGACAAACTCAGATGTCAGCACCTCAAAATCTTCTTCCTTCACAATATTTTTCCCAGCAACTGTCAGCTTCACCTATAATCAATACAACCCCATTATCAGCACCAAAAAAAATGCAACCCAATTATAGAAGCTAAACAACAACTACTACAATTCACTCTCGTATCCCCAAACCAGAATGGACATCGTCATTGTATTAGCATTTTGTACTTACAAAAGACCATATCAAGCTTCCAAAAAAACAAAACAATCAGAATAAGCTTTATCTCTTTAAAGCAACTAGAATACTCTAAATTTTACCTAATCTCACTGAAAACAGGAACAATCTTGAATTTTATTTAATTATTTGAAGGAAAAAAAAAAAGCATAAAACAAAATTGTATTTTCAAAAATATTATTTTTCGGAATCTAACTTTCATGCACTATCACTCTAAAGAATTTTACACCTTCATCCATCAGAAATCACGCTAGGTATGGTTTGTAAAGTAATTATTTATTATTTATAATCAACAACAATAGAAAATATGTTATCGAATTAGTTACATGTATTGTAATTAAAATAAATTCCCTTTTCAAATGAAACAGCTTGTATTGTAAATTACTCGAAAATCCAGTGAAAAGAGAAGCGTTCTGAATCTTACGTTGAAGCGATGAATGTCGGATTTGAAATGGGAACGCTGGTCCTGAAGGGAATCGAATTGCGTCTTACAGGTGTTGCAGGTCAGCCTGGGAGCGGAAACGACGTCGTTTTGAGGGGCGTCGACAAGGACGACGTCGTTTGGGGATGGTTCGAGGGTTGGGCCTGTGCTGTGGTGGTCGGAAACGGAGGAGTGAGGAGAAGAGAGAAGGCGACAAGAGTCGAAGAAGTTGTGTGGAACTTCGAAGACCGAACGGTGTCGTTTCTCCTGAGACGACGTCGTCGTGGTGGACTTTGTTGCAGGGAGATTATTAGTCGCCATAGTAGTTCTCGATAGCAAGAGAGACTCCCAACTCCAAATGCCCCGTGAAATTGAATAAAAACCCATATTTATAGAGATAGTGTACAACAATATTGCAATAAATATGAAAAATTAAGTATTCGGAGATATAAGAATTTAAATACATTGAAGTAAATATTAAAAAAAAATGTATAATGTATTCAAATTTTAAAGATAAAATGTATATTTCACATATATATTTAGTTACTGTTTTTAACTAATAGATTGTTTATTTTAATTTTTTTAAAAAAAAAAATACAAGAGACGATTGTTACATATTAAGAGAATGAATTTTATTTCTTCATGATAAAAAAACATTTAAATGAAAATGAATGTGTAAAGAAAAGTGAGAAGAGTAGAAAATTTACATAGCAAATAATTATATTATTCTATTTTATACATATAGAATGATTAAGATTTAGAAGAAAAAAAATGTATTCGAATGATTAAAATAGAATACAAATAAAAGAAATGTATTATTTAAATATGTTATAATAATATTAAATAAATTCGTCTTTCACTGTTTAGATAATAAATGGAATTGAATAAATAATTTTATTATTATATTTATCTTATTTTAAACAAATAATTCATTTTATATCTTTAAATATTGTTTCTAATTATCGTTAAAAAGAATTACTTTTTATTTGATTTTACTTTATCTTTTGAATAATTATTTTTTTTTCATTTATATTCTTGATTCATCTTTTCAAGTTTTACAGACTAAACTCCCCTAATTCAATCCTGAAAAAGTTATTAACGATTTTTTATCTCATCTTTTTAACTTTGTAAAAGTTATTGATGACTCTTTATCTTACTTTCGTAATCATTGACTTAAATTGTTGTTGTATCAATACAAAAGTGATAATAAATATTGAATATAACTCTTTATACATATCTCAAACCTTTCATCAATATTAGATTAATCTTAATTATTATTATGAACTTGGTTTGCAAATGGGTTCACAATACATAGATAGAGTTGTAAAAACTATATGCTCCATCATACATATCCCTTTCTCTTGATTTTGAGGTTAAGCTAATGATATTGTACTTGTAACGAATAAGGTTGAATACCTCAATTGAATGGATGATTATCCTTCATAAGACCAAATACCACTAATATTAGGCCAAATTCCCTTCTCAAGGTTGAATACCTTACATAGGATCGGATACCCTTCTCAAGATTGAATACTTCTTCTAAACTCCTTTTTATTAGGAATTTTATTTTTTCAACTATGTAACTTATTTATTGATAGGTACTCGACCAACAAATAAATGAAACATTAGGTGTAACACCCCATTTTACATAAAAATATGATACAAGTATTTAACAAATATTTTTGGTATTTTTGTTTCAGTTAATGGAGTCGTTTCATATTTATCTTAATTATTTGATATGTTTTAGAATATAAAATAAGGTGTTTCATTAAAGGTTTAATTAGATGTTTTATTTAATTAAGAGGGAAAGGAGTTAGTAAATGTGGTTATGTAAGTTTTAACTATGAGTTAAGGGAAGAGAGGTTAATGATTTAATTGTGCAATTTTTTATCAGTTTTATGCTTCTTTCTTTTTATGCATTTTCTCTTTCACGTACGCATTCTATGTTCAGAGTTCAAAAAACAGAAGCAGAAAGAAAATCACCTCAGAGTTGAGCATCCATCTTTTTCTACCCAACAAGGTAAGGGGGAATGAGAAACCTCACTCAAGGTGTGGGATTGTATGTTAGATAGTGTGATTGACCTCCAATCTTGCCTCTATTATATATCTAAGTATAAGGGCCTTCCTCAAATATGTCTTTATCTTCTTTGTTTCTCCTTATATGTTCTATTTGATGTTAAATATATGTAAGTGTTTGTAATTTTTGAACATGGGCTTGAAATTATATGCTTTGGTGTTCTTGTGGGAACCCTAAATGGCTATTGTTGAGTAATTAATAGGAGTATGTAATTAGAATGTGAAATTGGGAATGACTGAAGTAATTGATGGTATAATAGAGTAATATTAAGCTTTAATTGTGATTTTTACCAATTAGTTTGAAACTTTGGGGTTTTGGCGTCTTTGGGTTCATCATGTGCGATTTTCACACTTCACTGTAGTGAATTTCACCCCAGGGTAGCAACTGATACGGCCGTGCAATCAGTGTTGAAAAGTCCTATGTTGAATCACAATTGGCACGGGCATGTATCCACTTGAACACCCATGCAAGTGTCCCAAATGATCGAAGTAGCCTTTGGTGGTTTCATAAGAGTTGTAGCCTTAGGTGATAACTTTCAAATGTTGTTGAAATCACCTAAAAATGAAGCCTATAACTCGAGTTATGAATAAATTAGTGAGTAAAGGTCAGATTGTCAGATTTAGATTTAAATGTCGCGATTTTGTATTTTTAAAAAATAATATATGGTATAATTAGTTCTTTACGTCAACATAAAAGTTGGAAATAATTTGTCTTATCTTTTTAAGAAAACAAAAATCAATTTGATAACATATATATAACTCTATATAAGATGTTTGGACTACACAATGTCTTAGAAGATTAAGTTGTGAAAATGTAGTTGTAAATGATGATGAAGAATGAATTTACCTTTAAAATATTTGATCTTATGATGATTTGAGGTATCTATGTCAATGTTTAGGAAAGATAAATCATGAGGAAAAATAATTGCTAATAAGTTATGATGTTGTGTAATTATTGTGGTTAATTTGTGAACATTTCTAATCATCATACTAATTAATGTTGATAACTCCCAATGAATCTATAAATTACTATATCTGAACAATTAATGAGCATGTAATACGAGAACATGTGATGATGAGATCATGAGATGATTTGAAATGTTATGCACAAAGTCTGTTTGACATCCATCATCTGTATAAAAATGTTTTTAAGGGCATGATGTAGAATACAATGTCAAGGAAGACCCCTTGGGTAAAAGCTTGGGGATAGCTTGGTTTGAAAGTCTCAGCCTCGTCTTTTGTGTACATGGGATGTATCTTGTGTGGCTTAGCTATCTTGATCAAATTTTGGTAGTATATCATCTTAGTGAGAGTGCGTAAAAGGTGTGACCTGACATGTACTCATAAACTATTCAACATGTATTGTTAGTAATAATGCACATGTATGATGTATGATGTTTTTACTAGCGCAACATGCATGATAATATGTTTTCAGTATCCATTGCATAATGCATTATAATGTCATATGCTATTGTTTATTATGCTATGAATGTAACAAGTGTGATGATAATATTTATTTGTGTATGTTATGTTTTGTTGCATGTCTTGTTTATGTTTAACTATCTGGTTTGCATTCATGCGAATCATGCACCACGAGCTAAAGTGAGATGTTTCTCACTCTCTTTCTTTTGTGTTTTTTTTTTTTTTTATAGTTATTATGTAGGCAATTGTCAACATGAGGTAAAGATGTTGGTATTGAGGGTTAGACTTTAGCATTATATTTTGTTTTGATAGGACATGTAACATCTGATGTAACTAAGACTAAAATAGTATTTGCTTCTTGTCATTTACTTTGAGAACTTTGGATTAATTTCCTTTGTAATTTTGTTAATTCCATTAAGTTTAGTTTATGTTAACAATGTGATTCTTTTTACTTGCATGAATTTTAAGTTCATTTATTTTACATGAAGTAATTTAGTTTCATATTATTTATGTGTAATGATATACAAGATAAAATGGTGTCACATTAGGTAATATCTTATATAATTTATTATAATCATTAATAATGGATTAACGACATCTATATTATGACTCTTAATAAAATGTCTTCACATATAAAAGAAGAAGGTTTAATCATAAGGTAGATACACAATACTTTTGCACTAATTACATGCAACCATATTACCTCTACAACTTGAACGTTAGAGTGTCATTATAGGTACTCACCTCGTAATGAAGATTTTGAAGCTTGTAAAAGAAAAAAGAGAAAATAAGGTTATCAACTTTAGACAAAAATTGAAAAATACACATTTTTCAGTAAGCACAAACGTGTTTGGTTTAAGAAAGAGAAAGTAAATAAAAAAATGATGTGAAGTATAGTGAAACAAATAGAAAATAAAGTTTTTTTACAAAAAAATAGAAAAATACACATTTTCAATGAGTACAAATGTGTTTGGTTTAAGAAAGAGAAAGTAAATAAACAATGAAGTGAAGTGTAATGAAAAAAAATAGAAAATAAGATGATTTTATAAATTATTTATTAAGAAAAATATATTTTTATTTATATATAAAAAATTGAATAATTTTTTTGAAAGAGAACGTTTCTAGGAACATTCTTTAACAATAAAATAAAGTTCGTAGCTATATTTTTTCAATGGAAATATTTTTTTTATGGATTTTATAGGCTTTTATATTTTTTAATATGTTAATTTCAATTTCTAAATTAAATTCCATTTTTATTAATATTTAATAATAACTTTATATCACGAATTATTTATCATGAATTTTAGATACATTTTATGTGATAAAATATTTATTTCTTATAAACCTTAATTATTATAATTTATATATTCAAAATATTTATTACAAATTTTATTTATATAAATTTTAAAAATATGTCACATGCATTAAAAAAACTGAAATAATATATATATATATATATATAATAAAATTATTATCTCAAATAAAAGATAAGCGTATATATAAAAATAATATTTTAATAATAAGCTGACAAAAATGAATATGGAAAACAAATAGAATTTGATTCTTAAAAATTGATAAAATTAAAAAATAAAGTTTTTAAAATAACTTACTTTATTAAAGTTAGTTTTTAAATTAATAATTATTTAATAACGTTATTATTGAAATTGACATCACATATTAAATGTCATATCAATAATTATTATTTTTCACATGATATGTCATATCATTCAGGTTAAATTGAAATATTAAAATGATATAGAGATCAAATTTGAAGTATTTTATAACTTTTTTTTTCCTACCAAGGACCAAAATGAAAGAAAAGGAGAAAGATATTAACAATGGTTTTAAGATGAAATTAAAGGGTTTTGGCTTGTTTCTTCCCCCATGTCTTCTAACCAAAAGGTCTATGCATGACTGTTGGTGATTTGGTTGTCATCCTTTCATGAAAGAGGTTGTGGGGATGCTCACCTGGGAGATGAACTCATCTTATTTATATTCTTATCTTTTCTATTTTCACCTTCTCACTTACTTTTTTAAATATGTATATTTTAGAAAAATAATTTTTCAAATGTAAAAAATAATTTTAAAATATCTTTCAAAAAGTGAGATTGTGCTTCTATTCTGCCCTAGGCGTGCACGTAGCCCATAAGAAGACCCTATTAAAAGATTATGATTCGAATGAGTATGAGATGTAGTCATGATAGCTTCAAGAAAGTAATCTTCCAAGTTAGTAATCCTGCACTTTGGAAGAATGCTGTCCTAACTTAAAAAATTCTTACAAATGAATATTTGTCTATTGATGATATTCTAACCACAACCAAAATACTTTCTTTTCTAAAAGCCAACGGGTCATGTATAATTGTATATATGTCTCACTTGCAAGCACAACAATAGTAACAAGAGAAGGTCAAAACTTTATTAAAGAATCCAGATTATGGCGTGACATACGCCAATCAAATTATTGCTTGAATTTTATGGAGACATCTTTAACACGACATTAACTCTTAAATTGAAGGTAAAAAGGAAACAATTTAAAGATAGTACTTTTTCGTTTTTTATTTATAGTCGTTTTGTCAGAATTTGTCATTTTTTTTATTGTCATTTTATTAAAATCAATGACTTATTAATTTTTTTTCCTCATTTTTATGTTTGATAATTAATGTATGTTTATTGAATAATGTGTCTATTTATTTTTAATGTCTACCTATTTTTTTTTCAACCACCTATGTAAAGTTAATGTTGCATTTAAAAAGGTAATATGTTTTCAACAAAATACTATAAAAAAATAAAGGGTAGAATAGAAAAATAAGTAATAAATATTTTTAAAAACTAAAATATCAATCATTTCCTTAAGTCCCGTGCAAAACCTTAAACGACTATGAATAAAAAATGAAAGGAGTAATATATATATTTATGTACTGCCCACATCGATACCGAAATCCATCTTGACCTAATGCCATCAGTGTCAAGACCAATCTCGACACCAACTCGCCCACATCGATACCAAAATCCATCTTGACCCAATGCCATCAATGTAGAGACCTATCTCGACACCAGCTCACCAAGCTACATCGACCGAGAAAATATAATCATTTCCCAACTAACAAGATAAAAAAATAAATACATAATTTTATCTTAATCAACCAAGATATTCGCATAAAGAAAAAACTCTAAATCTACCAAGGTACATACATTATATACTAGAGATATCTACACTGTTAAAAATTAACATAAACATTAGAATATTTTTTACATGTATCACCCCACCTGAAACAACAAAGTCATATTTGGACCAATCTCATGTTAGAAGAATTTATATACAAATTTTTTCTTCATTAAATTAGACGCGACAGCAATTCTTAGTTAGCTGAAAGTAGCACTTGTCAATAAATCAATCTCAAGTTTCCAACGAACACATTGGGCATTCAAAATGTTGACTCCAAATGCCTCGCGAGTCACCTACATTTTTAAGAAGAATAAAAAATCCGTTGGAAATGAAAAACAATTCGCCGCACAGTCCTCGGAACTAGATCTAAAATGCGATGGTCCACACCATAGGAAACACGTGGGACCCACTCTCAGTCCTCCACGTGTCCTCCTCTCACCTCCACTAATAACGATAACACCAGAATCTTCCATAACCCCAAAATCAAATTAAATAAATAAAAGCTAAAATAAAATACACAACTATCCCGTACATCACCACATGCCTAAATTAATTTATAACACAAAAAATAAATAAACCCACATTCCCCAGTCCAATCACATCCCGGGAAATTTAAAAAAAAAAAAAAAAAACTCAAACAATTAAAATATAAAATTAAATTACGACAAATCAAGACAAGACAGCGGAAATCACAAAAGCAGACAAAGCAGTCACTGTAACAGTGAACACCGCAGAAGCTTTCACGTGAACACCGTCAGACTTGCCGGAAGTGCTCCGCTCCGCCGCCGCCGACGGCGCATCCGCCGGTGCACCACCCGGCGCCTCTCCCGCAGGAGCCGGAGGCGACGCGGGAAGCGGCGAAGGCGACGGAGCCAGCCTCGGAGAAGGAGACGGCGCGGAAGCAGGCTCCGGCGCGGGAGCAGGCGACGGCGACTTCGCGAACAGTTCCGACGGAAGGAGAACGCTGTCGACAGAGTAAATCGAAAGCGGAGTCGAATCGAGCACGGTATCCGCAATCCTGGAGGAATCTACGCCAGTGTGGAGCGTGACGGAATCTCCGGCGACGGAGACGGTGAAGTCGAACTTTCCGGCGCCGTTGGAGGCCAAGGTAGCTACGGAGCCTTTGGTCGTTTTCAAGGATCCGATAGGAAGGTACTTGGCGGCGGCGTGATACTGTAGGAGCGAGACTACCTCAGCGTTGGTGAGCTTTTTCAAATCAGGTACGCCTTTGGCCTTGAACGCTTCATCATTCGGCGCGAAAATAGTCAAACCTTTATCAGCCGTTGACTGAAACGTTTTAACGAGTCCGTTAGAGGCGATTAGGTTAGCGAACGTTTTGCATCCCGCTTTCTCGATGAGAGCGGTAATGTTAACGTCGGCGGAGGGCGGCGGCGCCGTGAGGATCCCCGGCGCGATGATCGGCGCGCTGATTTCGATGACGGAGATGTTGTAGGGGATTTGCTTCACGGATTTGGTGTAGGTGGAGTCGAGTTTGGAGCCGGGAGCGGCGGAGCCGAAGCCGACCTTGCCGCCTTTGAGGTCGGTGATGTTGACGGATCCGACGTTGCCGTGCGCGGTGCCGGTGGTTTGGTAGAGCGTGGTGGAGAGCGTGGTTCCGTTGGTGATCTGGTGGAGTTTGGTGTTGTCGAAGTAGTCGAGCAGGATGTGGAGGCTGAGGAGGTTTTTTACGACGGAGAGGGGGTGGCTGCCGGCGGCGGCGGAGAACGCGGCGTTGTTGAGGACGAGGACGGTGATGGTCTGGCGCGTGTTGATTTCGTCGGCGAGGCCGGTCTGCGAGAGGAAGTCGTTGAACTGGCTGTAGTCGGGGTCGGCGGCGAGAATGTCGGTGATGTTGTGGGCGGAGACGGAGACGGCGGCGGAGAGGCTGAGGAGGAGGAGGAGGACGGGGAGGAGATTAGCTTTGGCCATGTTGGAGAGAGGGAGTGTGGGAGTGGGAGTGGGAGTGAGGAGTTAAAACATGGGAGTGTGAAGGGCTTGGGTTAGCTTAACCATGGTTAAGGACTTAAGGGAGGACAAGTGTAATTAAAATTCACATCTGCTTTTTCTATTATTTATTTTTCTAAGCTGTGGTCAAGAAAGAAATAACGAAAAGGAAAAAATTTATATTTCTTTTAATTGTTTTTATTGGATTAAATGCAAAAAAACATAAAGATATTATTAATTAAATTATACATTTTTTCTTTATATGTTATGCACCTAACGTCAATAATAGAACAAAAAGGTAAAACCCAAGTTTCTCATATTATGACGTGTGAAAACATGTACATATCTTTCTCTCAATCTTCCCTAAATCTATTACACTAAACACACTTAAAAATTTAACTTTTACCTTCTAAAAGTAAATTAAAAAAATAGTCACGGTTTTGGAAGCGGTAAACACGGTTATATCTGTCTTTGAAATAAAAATAATTTTTAAACAAGTTTATAAATATAACTATTTATTATTATTCTATTCCCTAAATTTATATGATTATTAATTTATATTTTAAGAACTTGTTTCATATTTTATTAATTGTATAAACTAGTATGAAAATGTCTCCTAAGTTCATGAACTGAACTACTATTTAGTCAAGAGAAAAATAAATGAATATATATATATATATATATATGAGGAGAATTATAATAACA